TATAACCTTGCATCGCTTACGGATATGAATGGTGATTCAAGTCACCGTGGACAATGGCAGCTAGGTATTTTCCGTCAAGCTGATTTCCCAGATATTGAATAGCCGCCTTACAAGACCAAGGGCGAGTCTATGTGATCTAAAATCTCTCCGGCGTGGCTATAGATCCATGCTAATTTGCTCCCGACGTTTGTGATTCTGTTTACATTTTGCATTTGTGGATTTGACACTGCCACATGTTGATGCTATCAGGCGCGCGTCCGAACCAATACACTGAATAGTATCTATCCGCCCCCTGCGCACAATCACATTCTCAGGTGAATATAGGTTATGGTCAGACCAACATTCGACGCCCCTACCCATCCCAGTTTCTAATGGTCGCTGGTAGTGCAGATGCACAAACAAGACCGGGTCATGGTAAACATCATCTTAGACCTGGAGGCTCAAGTATCAGACACTTCGCCTAGATTTTTCTCAAAGATTTACCAATAGGTAGGTATATTTTAGTATATTTTTATTCAAACAGCGTGGAGCCTCTGCCTCAGTCAAAGTGGTTCCGATACAACCTTCCAAACACCACCAGATCAGATTGCCCTGCATGGGACACGCCTCTAAATCCGCCCTGAATGTCACACGTTACTTCTTGCCCCCATTGTGGCGAGGACGCCAAGAAAACTCAGCAGTCAGCGTCGATATTGAACTCTCGTCGGCAAGCACTTCAAGTTGAGTTCCAAGTCTAATGGTGACGGAACAACACTGGATTGATGGCTAAATACCCGCGTTTGAGCTTTGAACGCAGGACGTACCAAGGAACACCCCGCGCAAAATTAGTAGGTGCGGCGTTCTACTTTTTTTTTTAGATGCTTTGGCTTACCTATGCTCCGCGGGTCGTTTGTCCCGCCGAACGCTACCGGGCCCACTCTTGACGTAGACTTGCAGGAACCTCACGTAATACATTTCCCCTGCGTTCACGGAGTCCGCGTCGCAAAGTGGCCTAAATGGCATAATACCCTAACGACAAGCATACTCCGTCTGGCACATTGGGTGTGGGGGTTCCTCACCTGGAAAGAGACATTGTAATGGTAATTTTTGATGTTGAAGCGCCTCCGCCCGAGTCCTGGGCGGGACTCAATACTGGATATCTCTTTTTCCATAAGTCGATGCTTCAAGTTCAAGCCTTTCCCCCTTCTTTTAACCTCAATGAGTCACAACCTTCGTTCCAAGTGACTGGCTCTGATTATGACGTTCCAGAAAGAAAGAAAAACTCAACTACGATAAGGTTGTTTGTCACGCTCAGTGTGCGCTCACCGACACAAGAAATTACCGATGAGTAACGTTATGAGCCCCTTTCATCACGCGGATATTCCCCTTTCATTTTAAAACCCACCTGGATGTACTCCCCAGAGGAATCACCTCCAGCTACACGGAGACACCCCTCACTTGGCCGGAACTGGAGACTCATTCCGATTTGAAACACATCCGAGCCACCCTCGAGGTCGTTGAACTACGAGGACTACCTACATCACGGTCCTTGTGATTTATCACACTTACCCTGTAAGCCGATGGTAACTGGACATAACATCGACACCGTGAACCGGTGGTAGCACGTCCCCCGCACCTTCGAGTCAGACTGTGATCTGGCGCCTTGGACACCCACAGTACTCGGATGTTGCGGAACTAGCTTGACGGTACTTCTTTTTGGGGAGTGGAATTCCGAAATACGCGTCGACCGGTTTCTATCGTTAGGGGACTCGGGGACCAAATGATTACCACTCCACTGAGGTATATTCGTACGTTCCACTTTACATAAATAAACTACCAAAGTCCTGGTTTAGATATATGTTTCTGCTATAGGACTCAAGCGTCTCTTATCATTTGGAGCGGCCGGACCCCAACGATAACCGAACAATAGTAGTAACGACAAATCGTCAAACTGACAATTCTCCTATCATTTTTTTTAGGTTTGAGCAAAGTCAGAGATAAATTATGCAGGGACATTGAAGTCAGAAAATTTGCTTCTGGTAAGAAAGCGATAAACGTTTCAACACGTCCGGATGGGAGTTATGGAATGTGGCGGTCACGGCCGCATGCTACCAAGGGGAACACCTCCGAGTCCGCTCAATTACGGATAAGTTGCGGAAGTTACAGCAAAAACTTGTGCCTTGCCAGCCTTTCCGTGCTCAAGCTTGTTCTAGAACACACTTTTAATAAATAAAAATTAAGTCTGAGGATCACCCCACCGATATGTAAGGAAAGTATCCCTAAAACAGAACTCGGCGTGAACCTGGAGGCAAACACTATCCAGAACTATCCGCTACCGGAACCACAAGGAATCGTCCCCCATGCCCATACGGAGACGTATCGCTTGTTTCACCGGCCTCTGCAGTCTCATCAGAGTCGGTCATTACATAAGTCATCAAATTACATAAAACATGTGATTATTCCCGGCATTGCCTGGGGTTGTAATTACCTTGTACATCACTAGTTCGCTTAGTGAATAGCTATATACATTAACTCCACTGTACTATTGCAGCTAGTTGCCATAGCAGACCTAGCCTGTGGTTCATTTTCCTGATGTAGTGTCAAGAATTCAAGTGTCTACCACCCATGTAATCCGTGTAAGCTATAATTCACTTGAGCGGTTCGACATACGTTCTGCATTGATGCCGGGGTGTTTCAAGCTTGAGTGAGTATTTTAATTAGGCACTGCAAATTTGGCTGTGGCAATTGCAAAAGTGTATCGTGTATCTGGTGTCGCTACTACTAGTACTCTGTGCATCGTATTTGTCCACGGCCGACGATCAATCATATGCACCGCACTTGTGCATTTTGCTGGTCATACATGTTTACAATAGACATCGTACCTATTCATCGACATCACTGACATTCCACAGATGGGATCCCATCGTTGATTGAATTACCGTACTACGTACATAATACTGCATCTGACCCCGGATCACACAACACACACGATCGACGATCACCCTGATCAGCTCGAGCCTCCGGGTCGTGAATTCAGCCTCAATCTGATATAGACTCACTCGCCAAGGCTTCATGTTCCGTCCGCGTCCGCAGGCCTGAGGTGCGGAGGCATCGCGCAACCCGAAAATTAAATTCACGGGCAGGGGTTGGAATATGCGGGGGGAAAGGGCTTGGGCTGGAGCGGGAGGTGAGACTCGGGAGTAGCCCAGTCCGCAGCAGCCCGTGCAAAGGCATACCGGGGCCCTGAAATAAGTAATGGGGGGGGCAGGGGTGTCGATAAACTTGAAGGTCGGTTCTGTTCGACTGTGGGGTGGTGGAGCGGGGACATGGTTGCCCATGATCGACTTGGGCGGCGTATGAACGAACGTGTCCTAGGCAGGGCGTAACTTTGATGTTGGTCGACAGCCTCAGCTGACTCTAAGATCGTCGGAATTTCCATGTGGGAAGTGTGACGTGTGTGTGTGTGTACCTTCGCGATGGGGATGTACGGTAGGTTTTTGATACAATAGGTAAGTAGGTTCTGATTTTGGAAATATCAACCAGTGGGCTCGGACTTGCCTCGTGCTAGACTCGGAGATTTTGGAGTGGTGCGAGGCGGTGCGGTGGTTGTGTATGTGCGGCGGCGCGGTGCGTACTACGGCGGAGACGAGTGGAGACGTGGTTGTTCAACATGTGATTCGTGCTTCTAGAGGGCTGCTCCAGGGCTACAAGGACGTCCGTGCCGTGCGCCTCTGTCACTGATAAGAAATTGCGGACTCGGACTCGGGGAGGGAAGTGCGGATTGGGATTGGGATTTCCAAACTTTACGATATAGCTTACGACATTTCATGTGTACAATTGTGATTGCCTAAAAAAATCGTACACACGTCTACACACGCGTATACGTACCAGTTTCGGCGAGAAAGCCCAGCGAGGAAGTTGGGAGGATTCCGGATGATCCAGATTGTTGATTCGGACTCGGGCTCGGACACGGCTGGGAACCATTGCCAAGATAGATCCGGTGCTCAGGTTGTTGCACCGCGGCGCACGTTTGCTGTTGCGAGGGCAACGACAGGCAACGACCTATCTGCCTGCTGGCAAAACATTGTGGGGCACACTTTACGCTGCATTTCATTTTCATCTCAGCCGACGGCTGGTGGTCTGCGTTCAAACACGTTCAATACATAATGCTTACGAGCTATTGATGGTATAGTTCAAATCGTGGGGCCTTCAACTCCATTTCATTTCGTGTCCTCTCCATCTCATCTTGGAATCAGGAGCCTGAGAAATATCATTTACGAGATGTCCGAGTCCGAGTCTGAGTCTGAGTCTGAATTCACTAAGTAGAGCAAAGCTTAACGTCAGTTGACAATGAATACAAGCCTCCTTGAAAGGTTGAAGGAACTTGACTGGATATATACTCTCTCGTCGGACGTCCTTCCAATGATGATGCGATCCATCCTGATACCCAGATACACGCAGCACAACGATATACAGCACCCTGGTATGCAGGAATTCCGAGCAGTGTAGCTTATCCGTAACCGTGCTTGGCCCAGGGGAGCTCTCAGCCACTGCGTGTTAACTGGCACGTGAACTTGCTGTGATGTGAGATGACCGGGATGGAGTTCAAGAGATATAGGGGTTGAGGAAAGGAAGGACCATGGACGGACGGGTACTCAGTACTCAGTATGGTGACATGTTGGAACCCGGGCCCTCGAACCTTGGGTACCGTACCAATCGATATTTCGGTCTTCCGTATTCGACTGGCTGTCCCCCCCCCCCCGTCTCATTTCATTCTAGGATTAATCTCATGTGCGCATTGAGTTCGAGTCCGGAGCCTGGGGTCGGTTTGACCGTGACCAGATCAGGCAGCGGAGGCACAGTGCATATAATACGTTTTTAGTATTGTTCGTAGCCCATTCGAACTTCATGCGTGCCTACGTACATGCGACGGGGAAGCATGCTGATCGAAGCACGAAGCTCGAAGCAAGCTTCTTTACCTGACTTGCATTGTATATAGATTAGAGGAAGACATATATTACAATGCGCACGAAGATTGATCACGCCATTTCACGTACCTTCATTTCCGTTTCAGTATCTATGAAGGGGGCGTTGCAAAAGAAGGAAGTGAGTGCCATGAGCACGAGAAAGGCTGTGTGATTGATTGTAGATGTACGGGTGTACTGGTACGTGTAGTGTAAAGTGTGCGGTACTTGTACTACTGGTACGTGTAGTGTAGATGTGAGTGGTTGTAGCTGTACTTGTACTTGTAGGGATGACTGTTCTGGGAGGAGAAGAGGAGAGAAAGGGAATATCATGCTATATCAACACCACCACCGTCAACTAAATGACACGACACCAACACCGACGCAACCAAAAAAGAAAAAAAGAGAAATGTAAGAAGGGAAAATGATACATGCACAGAGCGGCACCGATTGGTATCGAGCTGGGTAGCGGGGCAGGAGCAGGACAAGATAAGACGGGGTCGGGGAGTCCATCTATCTGGCCCATTTGCCCGCGCCCGCGCCGACCTCCACATGCATCATCGCACCCGGCCCAACACCCGGAGCTGGTCCCAGCCCCAACCCCGCCGGAGGCCCCGTACTCGAGCTGGGATGCACGAACACGCGCTTGGTGTACTTCCCTGCGCGGCGGCGGGGTGGCGGCGGGGTCGACGTTGAAGTCGAGGAGGGGGACGTTGCTTGTGATTGTGGTTGGGGTGCGGCGGGTGGGTGCGGGTGTGCGGGGTTGGGGCTGGGATGGGGGTTTGGAGAGGGGGAAGGAGGGGGGTGGGATTTGGTGGGTGTGCGGATGCGGATGTGGGGGCCGTGTGGAGGATGTGGGGGAGGCGAGACGCGGGTGTGTGGGTGGGGCGCGGGGTATGGTATTTGCATTGGGGGAGAGGTGGACGGCGAGGGGGCGAGGCGGAGCGTGTGTGCGGGCGCGTGGGGATACGAGGGCGGGTGTGGTGGATGCGGGTAGGGCGAGGGACTCGCGTCGACGCTCTTGCGGCGTTTGGGCGGGGGCGCACCGAGCTCGCGGTCGTCGCGACTCTGTTCATGGCGTGGCACACTCCCGCGTCGAGCAATGACACGCGCATGGGCCTCGACACCCACACGGCCCTCTACACGGCCCTCCACGACCGCACCGTCCTCCTCGACGCCCTCCATTGGCACGCCCATCGCGACATCCTCACTGCCCACGGGGCGATCCCTCAGCGAGCCCTTGAAGAACTCGCGCTCCTGGCTGCTGAACCACGTCGAGGTGTTCACATATGTGCCGCCGATCATGCGGACGCGAACCTCCTCCTGGAAGGCGCTGAGACGGTTCTGGTGCTCGGCGAAGGGGCGGTCGACACCGGCGACGATGTCGACGTCGCGGATGCTGGGTGGGATGGGGGGGAAGAGGAGCATGAGGTCGTGGCCGGTGGGTGGGGAGGGGAACGTCGGGGGGCGGGAGAGGGCGGCGGAGGGGGACGAGAGCTCTGTGGGGCGTCAGTGGGTGTGCGGAGACAAGGGGGCGAGTGGCATACCGCGCAGGGAGGAGGGCGACAGTGGACGCTGTTCTCGGGAGTGCATGTGTGGGTGGATGGGCGGCGTGGGGGGATATATAGGGCTCTGTGGCGCAGACTCGGGGGACATTGAGCGGGGCATGGGAGACGGGGACAGAAGAGGCGAGAGAAGACGGGGACAGAAGACGGCGACACGGTGGGGAAAGCGGGACAGGCAGTGTCGCAGCGCACCTTTATAGAGCGTCGAAGAGCCGCATAAGGGAATTAAAACGAAATAGGTAATATAAGTGATACACCGCAACCAGCTAAAAGTGATCTCAGTGATCTCAGAGAGTGATCTCAGAGACCGATCTGACACCACACCTCCGATCTCGAGCCCGATTGCCGAGCAGACAGCGATTTCCGGCGTCTCGTTTAATTGCGCGCGGGCCCTTGGTCGGTCCCGGTGCCTATGCGCCAAGTAGCCGGACCACACGGCGTCGGCTTCTCAGGACGGTGTCCGCGTTGGGCTGCCCGCGCTTCGCGTGAGGATGTGATTCCCGAGCGTGCGCCACGGATGTGCGCGGCTGAATGGTCTGCCCGCTGCAGTGACGCACGTCGTTGTGCGTGCTTTGCTCTGCTTTGCTCTGCATTGCTCTGCTGTACTCCGCCGAGTGCCTCGTGTTCCCACCGCGGTCCGTTTCGGGTTCGCCCGTGCGCTGCGTAGCCCCAAACACCACTCCCAAACAGCCCCCCTAGCAACACAAGCCACAACGTCGCAACGACATTGCACTCTTCGTCCGCGCGATCCATCAGCTTTCCGCTCAGCCAGCCCAGCTGCCGCTGCCGATGTCACAAACTGTCAAACATGTCAGGCCAGCGCCACACCCACACTCATAACCGCCCACACCCAACGCACACCAACGCAGCGCAGCACAAACGCAAAGCACATGCAGCACACACGTCACGTCAAGCTTGTGTACCGGCCACCTCCTCCGTCCCTGTGCCGCAGCTTCGATTTCGCCTCGCCGGAGTCCTGTGCGCGGGATCCAGGGCCGTGCCCACATACATAGCATCCACCTCGGCCCATATGTTCGAACGTGATTCGAAGCTGTCACTGATCTCAGACTGCCTTCGAATGTGATCACGGTTGTCTTCGACCACGGCGCGTCCCAACGCCGGGGCCCTGGCAGAAGTCGAAGTCGAAGCCTGCACCGCGCGAAGCGGCGATATATATATCCCTGTGCACGACGCGACGTGACGCGACGGAACGGGACGCAGTGTAACGCAGACGCTAAGGGGGTGCCATTCCGCTAAGAGTCGCGCCTACGCCTAGGCTTCGGGGCACGCGCTGTCATTGGATCGACCATCGACGGCCGCGGGACGGGACGGGACGCTGTCATTGCAAACGTCATCCCCGACTCACACGTCCGCCCGACCGTCCATTAATTGGATTAATCGATGTAATCTGCATTGAAGCCCCTTAATTCCTTTCCTCGGATATGGTCGCGCTTGTCGCTGGGCAGCATCATTCCGTCCTAATACTCATATTTGCTTACTGTTCACTTACGCAGCTGCATGCGCATATATGCGCACATGCGTGCTACGCGCCCCGTCAAGCTCGACGTGCAGCTGTCACGGTTCTGCCACCCTCGCAGTGTCTCTGCCAACGTCCCAGTGTCTGTTGTACTACACCCCGCCCGGCGCACTGGTATCGTACACTACATCACCATCATATATGCGCTTTACCCCAGCTCACCGCGATAATATTCGCCGGTCCCTTAGCGCGCAGCACATCTTTCGCTGTTTCCGCCGGGGGAATTATCGACCCGCATTTGCGCGAGAAGCCATTGCCATTGATACTAAGCATGCAGCTCTCCCCTGGTGCCAAAATCGCCTCTACTACGAACAGCAGCAGCACACGACGCGATCGCACCGCTTGTTGTCAGACAGCATCATTCCACCGCATCCTATATCACATCCAATCTAATCATACGCTTATTTCTAACCTACTTATTCAGTCAGATGCGCACATGTCCCGTCGACCTCGACCTGCCGCTGTCACAGCTCTCAGTGCGTCCCCGTGCGTCGGCCGGAGTTAAGTTAGGGTTTCAGACTAGAATACCATACCGACGGACCTCACGCTTGCAGGCATTGTGATTATACCTTGCTACGTCATTCAGATCTACAGCTAGCCTGCCCACCTGTCATGCATACCGCAAGATATCGACTGCACCGATAGAGGCACCAACGTTCGCTTTTGACCCAGTGTAACAGACTGTAACAGAGTATGCATCCCAGCGTGCATTCAAGCTCAACACCAAACCCGTCGACCACCTTCGCCCCCGCCCCCATCCCCGTCTTCCAAGTCATTCGTTCGCGCGCGCCATTCGCGCCTATACACACTCGACACAGCCACCTCGCACTCTCACTCACTCAAACGTATGTCCTTCTCTTCTTCAACCCTGGCTCACCCCTGGCCTTCGAGCTCTAACCGCAATCTTCCAGACCTTCGGCCTCCCCCGTGCCGCCGGACTTTCACTCCATCACGCTTCACCTCTAAGCGCGAGCAGAGCCTGCACCTCAACCTAAGCGACACAATCGCATTCGCAATTAAACCCCCCCTCCCGACGCTTCTCAGTGGGCAAGCAGCATCTCCCCATCCCAATATCATCATCCCTCTGCTAATATTTACCATTTATTAACGTCATCACCCCGCTTACTCGTGCAGAAAAAACACGCATATATATGCATTCCTTCACTATTGGAATGCAGTTGCTCAGGGTACCATCATGCAAATACACCTTGTCGCGGTAATATTCCCTTGCTCCCTTTAAAGGATCTCATTTTCTTTGCGCGTCATTACTTGACTTGGCATGAACGGGAGCTTTCTCGCAAGGCCCAAAGCCAGCCGTAGAACAACCCCCGTTCCCGTCCCCGCCCCCCACTTCTCTCGCAAAAAAATCGTGCTCGTGCTCCTCTTCAAGTTCCTAGCATCGTCCAGCCGTACTCATTCGCATCTCCGTGCTCCCCAAACGCCACAACTCACGCATACATACATACAACAAAACCTCAACCTCGAGCTCCTTGACGAACGTTCGCATCTTCGCCCTTTGCGCTGAATTCGAACTCGGGCCCGAACTCGGCCCTGGCCATCACCTCTCTAAACCTGGTCCTAGCCCTGGCATTTCTATATTAGATCCAAATCCCTGTCCTTCCTCCCTTAACGCTAGCCCTGCACCACCCTTAAATAGAGCTCCAGTCCTCTTCTTCTCTTCCTTGTTTGTGGCGTCAGACTCTCCGGTCTCATATCGGAATCCGAACCTCATCCCATCATTATCACGTTTCCAATCAAAAAAGCTGCAGACGTATTTCCCCGCTAATTGCAATCACACGCACATTCCCTCCACCCCCCAAACGCCATGAGTGTCAGAATCAATCTGAGAACCCCCAACCCCCCGCAATTGATAAATGTCTTCCACGCGGTTCTTGTGTTTCCCTTGGGGAAGCCGTTCAAGAACTCAGATTGGCCAGCCACACGGGCAGCATGTTGACACTCGGACGCGGCGGATCGCAAGGCTTATTAGTGGACAGCATCATTCCATCTCATCCCATCCCAATATTACCGCTATCAGTATCTTTATCAATGTTGCCCAATTAGACAGACGTATATGCGTGCATGTCAAGCATCTCGTCAGCCTCGAAGTAGTCCAGCTCTTCTGCGCCCTCCGTGTCGGCGGGAGTCTCAACTCACTTCCCCCTCCCCACGGTCTGGAACCTGTTTTGGAATGTGTCCGCGTTTAATTACGCGCTCTTGTCCAATACGAACGCTCGCGACGTCATGCAGATCTAGAATTGGGCCTGTCATGCTCATGCGAGACGTCGACTGGGCATTAACGACCTTAAACATCGGTGCGCACCGGGAGCGCGTCAAATCGCAATCACCACCGTCTTCTGCGCCCATATACAGCGAATTCGTACACTGAATGCCCAATCCCGCCCTCACGTCAGACCTCCTCTTCCTTAAATTCGAATTTAACCCCTGCCCTTTGCCCTCACTCTTCTTTCCTTCCCTGCCCCTTCCTTCCTAAAGTACTCGAAACGTTGCCCTGGCCTCTTTCGTGCCACGCGCCTGTTCGGTGTGGTGTCGGAGTCCGGACCCACGTCCCATCATTGTCACGCTCCCTATCAAGTTCCTACGTTAAGCGCGCCCAATCCAATGGAGCATCAAGCTTAAGCGCGAGCAGAATCGCAATCGCGGACCATGCACAGCCTCGCATCGAATCTCTTCCCATGACGTCACCATCAATCTCCCCCCCATCTCACTCGCGCATTCGGAAACTGTCGAGGAACTTGGACCCAGAAGCTCGAAATACCATCACGCCAGAATACAACATACCTACTTACCCGCAGAACAGACGTACCAATTACCGATACATGTACCATCACGACCTTGATAGAACCCAGTACGAATATTGTCCAACAGAGAAACCAAGGACTGCTCACAACCAATTAAAGGACGACAGACGAACCACGCAAGGATGCTTCTTTCCCAGCGCCCGCCGACTCGGAGACAAGACACACCGAATGCAACAGAAAACAGAAGAGCCACTGAACTCTTCCTGAGACTTGGGACAGCTGCGTAATCCGGTGGCAGGAGAGATCCAGTGTGTGCGTGTGTACCTTTCATTGTTGTCGGGCTGCACGTGCATTTGCAGATTTATTTTTGGGAGCCCGAGGAAAGGGCCTTAGTAAGTTCACCCCCGTATGACTTCGGGTCCAGAAATTAGGGAATTAAGAGTGAGCACTGGCAACCCTGAGCGTGGCGTTGTGGCTCAGTCTAATCTCTACTAATCTCGACACTGTAGCTGGCATGTTACGTCGCGCTTCGTTTGATCTAATATATGCGCGTCGGTAACGTACAGGTCTATCGGTATCGTTATGGGTATCGGCTCACTTGTGATGAAGCTCAAAGCTCTAAATGAAGATGGGAGATGTACTGCCCCTGCAGCTAATCTAGACCCGTTCCCCCTTCTCGTGGCGTGGTGGTTCTACGCTGAATCCAGTTTCGACACTGGCATGTTACGTCATGCCTCGTTTGATGTGATATATGCACGTCGGCAACGTTTGCTGCTCTATCGGTATCGGTACACTTGCGATCAAGCTGGCGTTTGAATCAGTGTCACACATGCTTGTCATATATCACGCTGCCGTGGTGACTGACCATATCCAGTGACAGTCAGCAACTCGACGCTATCGCCTTACCGCAGATGCACCGCGGCCGCGAGCGCTGACCAGTGCTTCCCTTGCCTACCATACGCGCAAA